TTTTTTTTTTTTTTTTTTTTTTTTTTTTTTTTGGTACCAGGGATCAAACTCTGGACCTTGTGCTTGTGAGGCAGGTGATGGAACCACTGAGCTAAATCCCCGGCTCCCAGCCAGCCCTTTTTTATTTTGAGTCAGGGTCTTGCTAAGTTACCCTTGGGATCCTCCTGCCCTGGCCTCCTGAGTGCTGGGGTTATAGGCATGTGTCCAGCTCTCCTGTGATTTTTGAACTATATGAAAATAATGTAATCACTTTTAACGTACTGGTTACCTATTTTCAGTGATTATCAGCTCATGACCTCTTTGGTTCATCTGTAAGTCCCCCACCCTTTTTTTTTGGTGGTACTAGAAATTGAAATCATGGCCTTCACACTGACCATACCCCCTAGCCCTTCTTATCTTTGTTCTGGAACAGCGTGTCCCTCAGTTTCGCAGCCTGGGCTCAAGCTTTTGATCTTCCTGCCTCAGCCTCCTAGAATGCTACCACATCCAGCTTAAAGCAAATCTGGAAAATTATGTTTTCCAGAATGAATGCACATCTCTTAGAGATAATGAATTTTTAAGACATAATCACACTAGCATTATTATATCTGAGAAATTAATAGATTATGAATTTCTTCTTGTTCCGTGTTGATCACTGTTTACTGGAAGTCATTTAAGCAGGCCAAACTAAGAACTGTTCTTTCACCGTGCCCCCAAAGGAATTGCTACACAACAACTGTGCTAACTGTCCACCAGACTCATCTGCAGTGAACTGTGAAACCTTGGTCAGCTCAAGAACTATCTTGTGGCTGAATAATGTATCAGGACGTCAAATCTCAAATGGTTGAGTGATAAACTTGTCTGGCGCCTGTCTGTTCAAATGAGCAGAGAGGATTATAGAATTGAAAATCGCCTTAGGAGGGACTTTGTGGGGGGGTGTCCAGGAGGATGAGGACTGGTGCACAATTAGGAACCTTAAGGACTGTAAAGTTTATGGCATGCATGGCAATAGTAAAGAGCTTAAGACAAAGAAAATTTCAGATGAAACCACAAGGCATCTAGTGACAAATCAAGATGTATACCTGGGTGTAGTGGTACATACCTGTAATCCCAGTGCTCTGGGAGGCTGAGGCAGGAAGATTCCAAGTTCAAGCCGAGCCTGTGCAATTTAGTGAGATCCTAGAACTGGAGATGTATTCCATTGTGAATCTGACTATAACCCTAGATTCAACTTCTTATTTGCAGAAATTACAGGGGAACTTGTTTAACTGCATCATAGCATGCAACTGGGGAAAAAATAGACTCAAAAGTTACAGAAAAATGATGCACTTTCTCCTATAAACACAAAGGCAAGGAAAAAGGAGGTATAGAGGAAGAATATAGATTAAAAGATACTTAAGGCTGAGGGTGTAGCTCAGTGGTAGAGCACTTGCTTAGCATGTGTGAGGGCCTTGGTTTCATCCCTAACATAGACACACACACACACGCACTTTTAAAAAATACATCCAGATCCTAAATCAAGCTAATTATTAATATATAATATTTATGAAGCAGAAACTTGAGCACTGACTGCATATTAAAGATACTTTGTTAGGTGTGATAACAACATTGAGGTATATTTTAAGCTATTATCTTTTTAAAATAGTATAACAAATACTGAAATATTTATGAACGAAATTTTAAAAAACTAAAGGGAAATTTTCATTGGTTTCCGAAAGTGCTTAAACTGAGGTAGAAATTTCTTAAAATACAAATCTGGAGAATTGGGCTCTAGTCTGACTTTGCAGAAATGACTCAAAAATATCCTGGTGTAGAGAATGTCTATAACCCCAACAGTCTGGGAGGCTGGGGTAGGAGGATCACAAGTTACCCCAGCCTGGGCAACTTAGCTATTTAGTGACACCCTATCAAAATTTAAAAAGGGCTGGGGATGTAGTTTAATGCAAAGGCCCTAGGTTCAGTCCATGGTACAGAGGGGATAGGAAGAGAGAGGTACGGAGGGAAGAAATTCAACAGAATGTGTATGCTGTAGGTCCTTGTTACCTCCCCTCTGCAATCAGGAATGAGGAAGTTGGGGGATAGGGAGGAACTCTGAAAGAGGAAGGAGTTTACTGAAAGGAGGAATTAGAGATCTGTCAAAAAACATACCACTGTATCTGTCCAGAGCAAGAGCCCACCATCATCATAACCAAACCCAGAAGTTTCTGCTCTAGAGAATCAGCCTGGGGTACAGCCAGACCTTGAGAGAGCTGATGCTCCCCAGAGAAGTCTGAGGTACAGCAAGCTGGAGCACTGGGTGCTTAGGAATCTTGTAACAATGTAGATTCTGAGTCAGGCTGGGGTGGGTTGGGGTGGGACTGAGATTCTGCTTTGCTAACAAACTTGATGCTGGCAGGAAGACCACACTGCAGCTAGCATGGGCTCTAGGACAGATCTAATGGCCTGCTCATCCGCATGGAGTCTGGGACACAAACTACATAACCTCAAGAGGAGCCAGGTGTGGTGGCGCACGCCTGTAATCCCAGGGCTTGGGAGGCTGAGGCAGGAGGATCACTGTGAGTTCGAGACCAGCCTGGGCAACATAGTTCCAGGTCAGCCTGAACTACACAGTGAGAACTTGTCTCAAAAAACAAACAAATAACCTTATGAGGAAAAACCAGCAAAATGCAGGCAGTGGGATATACCAGAAAAATGCCATGGTTTCTTCAACATAGATGGGAAGCAGTTTGTGGGTTTAAAAAAAGTTTGAGGGCCGGGGTTTTGGCTCAGTGGTGCTTTTGGTCCTGAGTTCAATCCTCAGTACTGAAAAATAAAAAATGCATATAAAAAGGCTTGAAATAGAGTGGAGCCTCAGTTCATGAACTCAGTTGTCTCCACGATTCTGGTCGCAAACTGAACTGGATGAGAACTGAATCAGATTTCCCCATAAGGTCAACATTGAACGTAACCATTGAATTTGATTCAGTTCTCATGCAACATGGTTTGCAACCAGAATTGTGGAAAGAATCAAGTTTGTGAACCAAGGTGCCACTGCACCCTGCCTTGAAAAACAACTTGGTGATTTATTTTTAAAATTTAGTTTCTAATAGAAGGAAAAAAAAAAGCAAAGCTTTTGTACATAGGAAGGGGGGTTTGGGGGGAATGGGATAAAATAAATTTTATTAATAAAAAAAGAAAATTGCTTTCACATGCCATAAAATTCAGTGTTTTAAATTTTATAATTCAATTTTTAATATATTCAGAGAGCTGTTGAACTATCATTACCTTCTACTTCCAGAATATTGAAAAGAAATCTTTATTCTCATTAGAAGGATCTGTAATTAAAAATTCTAAAAAGTATACTGAAAAATATACTTATGAGCATACAGCTTGATTGACTTTCACCACCTAAACACCCCCATGAAATCAAGAAAAGCTGGGTGTGGTGGCGCATACCTGCAGTCCCAGCACTCTGGGAAGCTCAAGCAGAATGACAGGTTCCAGCCCAGCCCAGGCAATTTAACAACTTAGTGAGATTCTGTCTAAAAAATGAAAAGGAGCCAGGCGTGATGGCGCACGCCTATAATCCCAGCGCTTGGGAGGCTGAGGCAGGAGAATCACTGTGAGTTCAAGACCAGCCTGGGCTGCATAATGAGTTCCAGGTCAGTCTCAACTACATAGCGAGACCCTGTCTCAAAAGAAAAAGAAGGAGGAGGAGAGGAGGAGGAGGATCGAGGATGTAGCTCAGTGCAAAGGCCCTGGGTTCAATCCCTAGTGCTGGGGAAAAAAAGTCAAAGAAAAAGAACTCCCCTTATGTCTAATTGACTTTTCTTATCTCGTGTGTGTGGTGTGTGTGTGTGTGGGGGGGGTTGGTACCAGGGATTGAACCTTGCTCTTGTGAGGCAGGCAGCACCACTGAGCTAAATCCCTGCCATTGTGGTGGGTGGGGGGACTAGGGGACTGAACTATTTTTCTCCCATCAGATCTATTCGCTGTATCTCCTTTCACCCCTTTGAAGGGGGACTGGGGGACTGAATCCAAGGTCTTTACACTGAGCTTTATCCCTAGTTTCTTTTTGGTTTTGTTTTGTTTTTTTTGAGACAAGTTGAAAAATTCTCCAGGCTGGGCTCAAACTTGCCATCCTCCTGCCTCAGCCTGGGTTGTGGGATTACAGACTCTCGAGGCCTTGCCCAGCCCTTCTCCCCTGTCCTGTCATACTCTTCCTAAACCCCCTCACACACCCATCTCACCCATCCTCCTTGCCTCGGCGCACAGCCCCTAAAGCCAACCTCTGAGCCTCCTCCCACCCCTCCCTCATCTCCCCATCCTCCTCCCTTGGTCCAGTCCTGTCCTCCCCAGCCTGCGAGATCCCTGCCTGTGCTGCCCACACACCCAGGCTCCTGAAGGAGCCACTTTCTGAAATCACACAGAGCAGAGGAGGCATTTGGAAGTTACGGACTCACAGGAGTCTCCTGCTCCCAGGAAAACCCACTTCCTAGGGCGAGGAATGTCTCATGTTTCACTCACATACAGCCCTGCCCTCCCCTCCTCCAAAACGGCCTGGGAACGGGAGGCCACGGGCACATCACCCTGCCCAGGTGGCCGGGCAGTAGCACAATCTGGAATTTCAGGTCTATAAATCACTTGAGGGGCAGGGAGCTCATAAAATCTTTTCTCCCATTGTGCCTGCTGGGTCTGCTGTCCCCTCCTTCTGGCACCCTCCCTCTTTCCTTGAAGACTGGCCCAAGTGGGGGCCTGAGCATTTAAAGGGAGCCACTGTATGTGTGGCTGGCCAGAGAGGCTTTGGGCAGAGAAGGTGAGGAGAGGACTCTGGGAGTCTGGAACGGGCTAAGGTTCACGGAAAGCCAGCCCCGAGTTCTGGCCAGGGATTCCAGGGCTGAGCCTAGGTCTCCCTGCTGTGGAAAGGTCCATTGCCTGGGTACGGGGTGCTGGGCACTTTGGTGCCAGCCTGCAGCCTGCAGAGAGCTGAGCATCCTTGGCAGCTGGGCTGTGGAGTGGAGCCTGGCTTCCAGCTGGGCTTTCCCTCCTCTCCTGGTCTCTGCTTGCTTCAGCCCCACTCATCTGTCCCAGCCAGGACTATGGCACCTGCAACAGCAGAGGAAGAGAAGGGATCTTCGATTGTGGTGGGGCTGCTGGTCATGGGCAACATCGTTATTCTGGTGAGACACTCTCGGCACTGGGGAGGCCCACTGGGGGCCTGCTGGGAGGCGGCAGTCCTGAGCTGGGATGGGGGCTGGGGGCCTGGGACCCTAGCAACTTCGCCTTTCCCCAGCTGTGTGACTTTAAGGGAGCAGCCTGGCTTCTGGGTGCCTCTTCTTCCTCATCTGTAGATTAGGTCCTCGTTGTGTATAGGCTGATGCTGGCCATCGTCAGTAACATCATGGGAGATATAAAGTGATGCCTGGGCACACGAGAGGCCCATAGTAGTGAATTATAAGTGTCTTTTAATTATTATTGGCTTAAAAATATTTTGTTGCCATGGTAGCACACTTATAATCCCAGTACTCAGAAGGCTGAGGCACAAGAATCAAAAATTTGAGTCCAGCCTTGGCAATTTGGTGAGACCCTGTCTCAAAATAAAAACTTAAAAGGACTGGGAATGTAGCTCGTGGTAAAATGTCCACTCTAATCCCTGGTAGTGCAAGACAGATACACAGACAGACAAGGGATGCTTGTACCAGGCTCTGGACATCCTGGGTTCAAATCCCAGCACAGACGCTTTTGAGTTGTGGGACCTGGAGCCAGTGACATAACCTCTCTAGACCTTAGCTTCTTCCTCTGTAAGATGGAGAAGAAATGGGTGTGCTGTGAGGATAGAATGAATCCTCGGGTTAATGTGCTTAGAACAGAGTTGAGCACATGCAGTTGCAGCTTATACTGGCCAGAACAGCCTCACGACACTACAGCTGGTAACAGTAATGATTCTCACACATAAAGCAGTTCCTCGGACCCATGCCTGGCCTGCAGCATGTTCTCTGCACAGGTGTTAGCTTTTATTGTTGTCAGAGTTGTCCACAGAAAAGTCTCCCTGTTTGTTCCCCATGCCCCAACACATGGGTGACTGAATTTCTAACTTCTCTGATATTTCTGTAATCAAATCCAAGCAAATAAGAACACACATGCCTATATTCTCCCCTTCCTTTTCATTTCTCATCCTACCCTGTACCCTCAGTTTTCTCCGGATCACGTAGCCACTAGTCCACTCTGAATGAGACCACAGAGAGTCTCTTGGCCCCTCTGACCACTGCGTGGCACTTCACCGAGCGACCTCTGGCCCTCTTATTACAGTGCTGCAGGGACAAGCCTTGAGGATTTGTGGTTTTCCTGCATGAGCCATGTAGCTGCAGGACTGATTGCCAGAGGTAGAATTGCAGTACCAAAGGATAAACAGATGTGTTTAGCAGTATTATGGCCACAGCCCTTAATTCCGCTTCAGAGGATTACATCTCCTTGGTGCTGGCTATGTACTCCAGGCTTTGTCTGTGGCATCTCCTTTACTTTTTTTTTTTTTTTTTTTTTTGGTACTGAAGTTTGAATTCAGGGCCTTCACATTGAGCTACATCCTCAGCCCTTTGTTTGCTTGTTTATTGTTTTGGTTTTGGTTTTTTTATTTTTTGGTTTTTTTTGAGACAGGGTCTCAGGCTGGCCTTGAACTCACTATGTAGCCCAGCTGGCTTCAAACTCACTGCAGTCCTCCTGACTTGGCCTCCTGAGTGCTGGGATTATAGGCGTGTGCCACCACAGCTGGCTACTGATTCTTTTTTTTGGAGGGGGGGACCGGGGATCGAACTCCGGACCTTCCACTTGCAAGGTAGGCAGTGGCACCACTGAGCTAAATCCCTGACAGGCTATTGATTTTTAATTTTAAGCCAGAATCTCACTAAGTTGCCCAGGCTGAGCCCGAATTTTAGATCCTCTTGCTTCAGTCTCCCAGAGTGCTGGGATTACAGGTGTGTGCCAACATGCCCAGCTCCTTTCTCCTTAAATTCATCTGGCAGCTAGGATGTAGGGGTCAGGGCTCTGGCTGGGTCCTTCCTCTCCCCCTGTTTTCTGCCCAGCCTGAGCATGGGGAGCGAGGGTTTTGCCATTCATCACGTGCCCAGTGGACCACTCTGAGAGGACAGTGGAGGCTCGGAAGAGAGAAGATGCTGTCTGTAACCCGCTGCCCCATTCAGCTGTCAGGCCTGGCCCTGTTTGCCGAGACGGTATGGGTAACGGCTGACCAGTACCGCGTGTACCCGCTGATGGGCATCTCGGGCAAGGATGATGTCTTCGCTGGGGCCTGGATTGCCATCTTCTGCGGCTTCTCCTTCTTCGTGGTGGCCAGCTTCGGTGTGGGAGCAGCACTCTGCCGCCATCGGTCCATGATCCTCACGGTGAGACCCCGGGGTGGGGTGGATGGTGACAGGCGGGCCCGGACAGCATTGTCACAGTCATAATAACAGCTACCAAGGCACAGATGTGGACTCCACGTGGCACCTCGCTCAGGTCCCGCGAGCATCATTTCATTTCATGGTGCCTTGGCCCCTTAACCTAGGCTCAGGCGTCACCTCAGGTAAGAAAACGGGTGCCGGAAATGGAGGGAAGCTCTGCTTCCTCCACTCAAGTAGCAGGGCTGGGATTTGAACCCCACTTAGTTGGCCTCCAGAGTCTGCTCATGAGCTCTCACCACAGCACAGCTATCTGTTATAAGTGCTCTCCACATGCCGGGAGATTTTCTTCCCACGCCTGCCATGAGAGACGGTCAATGTCGTCATCCTCTTACCCTATTTGGCAGAGACGGAAACTGAGGCTCAGAGAGGGGAAGTCTCACAACCAGCAAGTGGCCCAGCCAGTTGAAACTGAGGCGCTGAGCGTGGTGGCGCAAGCCTATAATCCCGCACTTGGGAGTTTGAGACCAGCCTGGGCTACATAGCAAGACCCTCTCTCGAAAACCAGAAAGAACAACAACAAAAACAAAGTTACGCCTGGGAAATTCCACTCTTGAGCCCATGCTCTTAATCTCTGCCAACCCATACTCATCGATAACCGTGGAAGGCGAGCTCCCCCAGTCCTCCAGGAAGCCCCCCGTTCGTGCTTTTTGACCCATTTACCAGGTAGAGAAATTGAGGCTGGCAGAAGCCAAGGGCCTTTTCCAGATGCCTGGGAGAGCAGGGATCCCAGTGCGGCCTCTGCAGACACAGAGGCGATGCTGTGTTTCTCTGCACTGTGGGGGGATCTTTTAGACTCCGGGGAGCAAGCACATATTCAGTCCACAAATGTTAACTGAGCAGGAAGCACGGGCCAAGCCCACGTGGTGGGTGACAGTAGTGAGCAAAACATAAAAACCTTGACCAGGAGGGTGGGGAAGGGAGGTAAGAGCTAGGGGAGAGCAAGACCCCTGGCCGGAGGAAGCAGCAGCCCAGGTGATGAGGAGCAAACCAGGGGAACAGTTCAGGAGGAACAGTTCAGGTGAAGGCGTCAGCAAGAGCAAAGGCTCAGAGGCCAGGAGTCCAGTGTGGCCACAGCCAAGTGAGAAGAGACGAGGACTGCGGGAGGATGGGCAGGGGGAACACAGAGGGCGGGAATGAGGGTAGGAGGGACGAGGGAGGTGGTAACCTAGTGGGCCTCGCAGGACTTGGCTTTATCCTGAATAAAACAGCACTGTGGAGCCAGTCGTGGTGTGCTCCCCCACGATTCCAGCACTCTGGGAGGCTGAGGCAGGAGGATCACACATTGGAGCCCAGCCTGGGCCACTCAGTGACTTAGCAACACCTAGTCTCGAAGTGTAAATAAATAAACGGGGCTGGGATGTAACAGTGCGAACGTTTCGGTTTTGATTCCCCAGTGCCGCCACCACCTCCAAAGAAAATATAAATAAATAAATACGTTTTAATGAGCTATGAAAGGTTTCTCTTTCTCTCCCTTCGCTCCTTCTCATTCTTTTCTTTTTCAGGCTGGGGATTTAGCTTAATAGCACTGTACCTGCCTCACTCTTCTCTTTTTCTCTCCCTCTGTCCTTTCTTTTCTTTTTTTTTTTTTCTTATCCTATGTTTAATTTCCTAGCATAACAATTTAACCAAAGCCCCACATTTCACATAACTAGTTAAAAAAAAAAAACAAATATGTCTATGCCTGGCTCCCCTATTAGTTTATCATTAACTAATACACAGAATCTGAAAAATTTTGTTATGGGAAATTTCAGACATAAGGTGGAGTAAATGGCGTTTTGAACCCTGTGTCCCCATCACCTGGTATCAACCAGCTCAAGGCACTGCCCACTCTGCCTGGCCACATTCTTCTACCTGTCTGTTGAGGCACATTCTAGACAGCGAGTCTTTCACCTGTAAATGCTTGAGCACACGTTTCTCGGTGCGATAAGGTCATTGTCTGGAGGCAGTCAGCCATGCTATGCGATGTTACCCCAGCGCTCAGGCGAGCCGTCATCCCTACACCCAGCTTCCTGTTGCTTTATGGAGGAGAGACAGGTGGGGACTGGGAAGGAATTTTCATGAAACAACTATTGAGCCTTTTTTTGCCCTCCGTGTCATGGATGAATCTGGCAAAATTCACCCTAGTTCCTTCATAGCTTCCAGTCTCTACCCGCATCTGTGCCTCAGGGTCCCTGGTGGTATTAAGAATCTCAGTCATTCTTTCTCGCTTCCCACCCCCAAGCCAGTTACGATTTTGTTTTATTTTGACATTTTATTATAAAATATTTCAAACATCCAGAGAAGCCAGACAACTTAGCAGTGAACACCCAAGCACCTGTCACCCAGATGTGACCATTCACACTGCCTACGCCCTAAGCAAAAAGTCTGTTTCTCCTTTTGCACCACTGAGGATAGAACTCAGGGCCTCACACATGCTAGGTGAGCCCTCTACCAGTGACCACATCTCCTGCCAACCTATCCCATTTCTTCTCCTTAGAGCTCCATCTCTCCCTGGGCTGTGTCTGCCCAGGCTCTGTTCTGACTGCTGTCCCCCCGCCCCCGCTGTGTCTCTCCCCAGTACCTGGTGCTGATGCTCATTGTCTACATCTTCGAGTGCGCCTCCTGCATCACGTCCTACACCCACCGTGACTACGTGAGCAGGCAGACAGGAAGGGCGTGGCTGGGGGAGGGAGAGGTCAACCTCTCCCCCCTACCCAGCCCTGCCGGCCCCTGCTCTTCCCAACCCTCACAGATGGTGTCCAACCCATCCCTGATCACCAAGCAGATGCTGACCCTTTACAGTGCCAACACAGACCAGGGCCAGGAGCTGACTCGCCTCTGGGACCGCGTCATGATGGAGGTGGGCACTAGGGCCGGGGCACAGCTGAGTGGGACAGGGCTTGCTTGGCATGTCTGAGGCCCTAGGTTCCACCTCCAGCACCATAAAGAAACAAAACAAACAAAAAACATGATAGAGGTGGGCATGGTTTCTGGAAGGGCCCGGGACTCCCATCAAGCCACTTGTACATGAATAAGGGCCTGCAAGATGGCCACTCAAGAGTCCCTACGGGATAAGGGAACTCTGATTATCACCATTTTCCAAAAGAGTAAACAGGCTCAGAAAGGGAAGGTCACTCACCAATGGACACTAATGACTGGTAAGTGGCAGAGCTGGGTTTCATACCTCGCACACTAGAGCCGTACCACCCCACAGCAATACTGATAGTAACCAGAGCAGCACCCATTTAGTGAGCACCAACTCTTGCTCAGCACTGTTGAAAGCACCTGTAAAATTTCTATAATCCTCACAGAGATCAGTTTTTGATCAGTAGGAAACGGAGGCCAGAGGTTGATGGCTGTCGTGAGGTCACACAGCTGCTAAGTCACAGAACTGGAAGGATCCAAACCCAGGCACCAGGTTCCAGAAGCCATGCTCTCATATTGGATAAGAGGAGGAAGAAACTGAGGACTCAAGGGAAGATGGAGTCCCAAATCAGTCTAAATCACACAGCCAGCCAGGAACTGAACTGTTTGAAGGATGCTCAAGACTACCGGGCTTTCTTGCAGGGAGTTACTTGTTTGTTTTGCTGTTGGTATTAGGGATTGAACCCAGGGCATTTACACTGACTTGCAGCCCCAGTCCTTGTTATTTTTAAAGTTTTAATATAAGGTCTTGCTAAATTGCCCAGGCTGAGCTCAGACGTGAAATCCTCTTGCCTCAGCCTCCAAGAGTGCCGGGAGCCAGCCTATATTTTTGTCATTTAGAGGCTACAATTTATGCACCCACTGGGAGTAGGAAATTTAAAAAATCCATCTCTTTGTATCATTTTGTCAGCATAGCTATCAGCAAAACCATTTTTTTTTTTTAAAGACACAAGTGTGGGTTTGGTCCAAACCTCCCATCAGCTTACCTGTCCTGGACAGGCTGGGTTCAGCTGTCAAAGGCCAGCCTTGTACTTGCTGGGTGACCTCAGGCGCAAGACCGCCCTCCCTGAGCCCTAGCCCACCTCACCCTCACCTGTCTCTCCAGCAAGAGTGCTGCGGCACATCTGGTCCCATGGACTGGGTGAACTACACGTCAGCCTTCCGTGCGGCCACTCCGGAGGTGGTGTTCCCCTGGCCCCCGCTGTGCTGTCGCCGGACGGGAAACTTTATCCCCCTCAGTGAAGAGGGCTGTCGCCTGGGCCACGTGGACTACCTGTTCATCAAGGTGCGCTCCTCACCTCCCCACACCTGCCTCTCTGCCCTTCCCTGGTTTCTGCTCACTCTCTGGTGCTCACTTCCTCCCTCCCACTGTCTGTCTGTCTCCCCCTGGGCTCCCTTCTCTGGCTTTCCCTTTCCCTCCTCTCGCCCTGCTCTCCCCACTCTCCCTGCAAGTCAGCAGGATGCTCACAGCTCCATCTGACCCACACCTGCCTCCTGCAACTTGTCCCAGGCTGCACAGGAATGAGAGCAACAACCACAGCGATGTCAACAGCACAGTGCCCCTGATGACCCATGTTGGTTGGGTTTGTCCTTTGTGCCACCTGTTCTTTTCAGTGCTTTTGCTTTTTATCTTGTTTAATCATCGCCACAGTCTTATGAGGTAAGGATTGTAGTGACCCCTTTGTACAGATGATTAAGACTGAGAGGTTGTTCACTAATTAGAAAGGGGGCTGGGATTTGAATTTGGATAGTCAGCCCTCAAAGAGTTCTTTAACTATGTAAGGCCAGCTCAGAGCCAGGGAGAGGAATAGGAATGTAGACTAGAGTCATGTTTGGTGGTGCTTGCCCATAATCCTAGCTCTCTGGGAGGCTGAGGCAGAAGGATGCTAAATTTAAGCCCAGTCTGAGCAACTTAATGAGACACTGTCTCAAAATTTAAATTTCTTTTTTCTTTTTTGTTTTGTTTTGTTTTGTTTTTTTGAGACAGGGTCTCACTATGTAGTTGAGACTGATCTGGAACTCACTATGTAGCCCAGGCTGGTCTCAAACTCAGCGATCCTCCTGCCTCAGCCTCCCAAGTGCTGGGATTACAGGCGTGCGCCACCACGCCTGACTAAAACTGTTTTTTTTTAAATGCACTAAGGATGTACCTCAGTGCAAAGGGCACTGGGTTCAATTCCCTAGTCCTGACTAAAAAGAAAAAAGGAGGGTAGACAAGGAAAAGAACTGGTCCCACTGGCCCCTCTGGCTGCTTTTGGCTGCTTGGGTGCCCTACGGCAGCACATCTTAGATCAAGGGCCCCAGAGAGGGAGGCCGGCTGCAAACCATGGCCAGGGGCAGACTAGAGCCGCCATCCTCAAACCCTCTGTGCAGAGCGCACACATCATCATCTCGTGGAATCCTTGCGACTGCTCTCAAGATTAACACTTCAAGGATGGAGAAACTGAGGCTTAGAGGGCCAGAATCATACCAGGCCCTGCGGCCCCGCGTGGCAGAGCTAGCCTGGCCTCCAGCACAGTCCCCAGAGAATAAGCCCCAAGCCAGGGCAGGGGCTGCATGAAGGGGCCCCAGCCCTGCTCGAGCTCATCTGTAAAGGGGCGGTTGTCAGAACCGGTCTAAACCTAAGGGTTCATAGCAGCCCCTTGGGCTTGGTTCCACATTACCTCCTGGGTCCCCTGAAGCCTCCCTGGGATGTAGACACAGCCACGATCCCCACCGCACAGGTGGGAACTGAGGCTCAGGAAAGGAAACGCCTTGCCCAAGGGCACTCGGTGACTGGCCTTCGGCCGCCAGCCTCCTGGGAACCTTCCCCAATCCTCGCCGTCCTCCTTGCAGGGCTGCTTCCAGCACATCGGCCACGCCATCGACAGCTACACGTGGGGCATCTCCTGGTTCGGGTTTGCCATCCTGATGTGGACGGTGAGAGGCGGGAGCCCGCAGGCGGGAGGGAGCCAGGAGCGGGCCCCGAGCACCCCCATCTCACCGCCTTCTCCCCAGCTGCCTGTGATGCTGATAGCCATGTATTTCTACACCACGCTCTGAGGGACCTGAAGGACCAGAGGCGGAGCCACGCTGCTGCTCGGACGCTGCGATCCTGCTTCCTCCCCGGGGGCCTGCATGGCCGCCTCACCTCTGCGCTGCCACCTCCCTCACGGTCCCCTTCTGCACCTAGGACCCCTACCTGGCCTCCACTCAGGCGTTACCACTACTTACTCCCAAACAGTCTGTGCTTGTGGGAGCCCTCGTAGACTGGGATCGCCACGCCACCGCCGAGCGAGGAAGGACCCTTTCTGCCCCAGGCGCTTTCCTGCCCCACCGTCACCCAGCACAGGGCTGAGCACGGAACCGAGCTCAATAAATACTGTCTCGCTGAATGAGTGGATGGACGAATGTGTTTTCTTTGGGGGCAAGGCTGAATGAGTAAGAGTTCTCTGAGGGATGGGGCAGAAACCCGGATGACACTGGAATTTGTTTCAAATCCCCGAGTCAAAAGGGTTGGCTCCAGGGCGTGTCTGGATCCGGAGTTCAGTCTAGGTTGCTGGGAAACCTGCTTCCTTCTCTGACAGGATTTCTTGGGCAACACCAGACATATCTTTACAGCCAAGCCAAGGGCCTCTCTCCCAGGGCTTTAGTCAAGGTCAGGAATGAGATCTCACTGCCTTGGTTCAGGTAGTACACTCATCCTTCCCGTAAGGAAAGGCACCAAAGTATAACTTAGTGTCCGTTGCTCTCCCTCCTTCATCCCCCCAACTGGGGATGGAGCCCAGGGCCTCACACATACTAAACGAGCACTTTACCACCGAGCTACATCCCCAGCCCTATTTATATTTTTAGAGACACGGTTTTACTAAATTGCCCAGGCTGGTTTGACTGGGATTACAGACGCATGCCACCATGCCCAGCTCCACTGATCTTTTTAAAGAAAAGGGTTAATGCTTTTTAAATAATGTTTAAGAGGCTGGGCATGGTGGCACACACCTGTAATCCCAGGGCTTGGAGGGCTGAGGCAGGAGAATCACTATGAGTTAGAAGGCAGCCTGGACTACAGAGTGTGTCCCAGGATCAGTCTGAACTACACAGCAAGACCTTTTTCAAAAAGCCAAGGGACGATATGATGTGATGATGATGATGTTTGAGTCATGGGAGAGGGCTGGGGATTTAGCTCAGTGGTTCCGCCACCTACCTCGCAAGCACAAGGACCCGAGTTTGATCCCCAGTACAAAAAAAAAAAAAAAAAAAGAGTCATGGGAGATACTTTTAAAGAAAGAAAGCTAATTTTTACTCTGCCCATTTAAAAAATAATACAAATTTAGAAGTAGCTACAATCCATTTTCTACTCCCCAGTGTCTTCTCTCCCCACCCTCTTTTGCAAACCCCTAGATAACGGTTATTAAGACTAGATTTTTGAACAGGTGACATTTGTATCAATGATGAAAATTTCTATACAGAATATACTTCCTCGGTCTATCTAGTTCCAATTTTAAAAATTGTTCTATTATATTACATAGGAAGTCAAAATCAATTATCACTCTGAAAACTTGCTTTACCCTAAATTCTGGCTAGATAAAGCCCTCCAGGTTTTACTATGGATTATTTCTATAAAACTGCCATCGCTGCCAGTTTTGTTTTGTTAAGAAATAGAATATACTTTCACAAATTTCCATAATGTGCCATAAGAAAAGCAAGGAGGTGCTGCCATAATTATGAGATTGCTGAGGCAGTGTTTGGAATTTTCCATGTGAGCCAATCAGTGTAAGGAGATGTACACATATTTTAGGGTTGTAAACAGTAGTGCAGCCTGAAGCCTGAGTCTAACCAGAATGAATGGCACCAATTTTGTTTTGTTTTGTTTTAGTTTGGTTTGGTTTTTTGAGACAGGGTCTCACTATGTAGTTGAGACTGACCTGGAACTCACTATGTAGCCCAGGCTGGTCTCAAACTCACAGTGATCCTCCTGCCTCAGCCTCCCGAATGCTGGGATTACAGGCATGCGCCACCACGCCCGGCTAGCTCTGGCACCAATTTTGACATCATGTCACTGTTAAATAAGCATTAAAAAATAAACGAAAGAACCACAGTAAATTCTACCTTTAACTTTTTGTAAGCCATGTTTTGTGGATAGCTTCCGTTTTACCATAAGGCCGATATATTTCAATATTTTGAAAACAGTATTAGTTTTGAGTTGGAAGAGGTAACCTAATCAACCTCCATTTTGTTTAGTACTAAGAGATACACCTTTCAATAAAATTATTGAAATGCAAAAAAAGACGACTAGTTTTTTTTTAGGGCCGGGATTTAGCTCAGTGGTGCTGCACCTGCCTGGGGCCCAAGGTCCTGGGTTCCATCCCAGGTCCCGAAAACAACAACAACAACAACAAAATACTAGATTTTTTTTTTAAAGGAAGGTAAATGTCCTTGTTGGCCTTTCAAAGACTTACAGATACACATTTCTGTATTTCTATACAAGCATACACGTGTTTAATGAAATCATGTTTAAATGCTGCTTTACCACCAGGAGGCTGAGGCAGAGGATTGCAAGTTTGTTTTTTGGTTTTGTTTTGGTTGTGTGTGTGTGTGTGTGTGTGTGTGTGTGTGTGTGTGTGTTAGTGTGTGTGTGTGTGTGTGTGTGTGTTTTGTTGTTGTTTTGTTCTGTTTTTATCACGTTTGCTTCCAGCCTGGGCACCTTAGCAATTTAATGAGACCTTGTTTCAAAAAAATTTTTTTAAGTCTTTTGTTTTTTTTAAAGAAGGGCTGGTGTGTGGCTCAACACAAATGCCCTAAGGGCAACTCCCAGTATCAAAATCAAATCAAAACAAAACAACACCAACTGCTTTACTACTTGTTTCTCCACATAACATACTGTGGTTATTTTTCCAAGTCAATATATGTGAATTCACTTTTTTTTTTCCAGTACCTGGGATCAAACTGAGGAACATTTGTTTGTGAGGCAGGCAGCAGAACCACTGAGCTGAATTCCCAGCCCTCATTTCTTTAAAAAAAAAAACAAAAAACAATAATGATGTTTTCCAGAGTAAAGCTGTGTCACGGGTCATCATAATTTTGATCAGTGGAAAAGGTAAAGAGCTGAACATGTGCTGACGTGCTTCGATTTTGATAAGAATTACACGCCCATGCCCCCCCAAGACTCCTCTGGGGCCAGGAGTAGGAGGGAGATGGGAGAGGAAAAGGAATTCACCCCACATATAACTGCCATGTCTGAAACAATTTTCATAAAGATATTTTCTTACTTTTCAAAAACAAAAGCTAATAAAGAGATTTCTAAAATAGTGAAAAATATATGGATTTGCTTTACTAACCAGATTGGGATTTTATTTGGTTTTGGTCTTAAACCACTTAGACGTGATACACATCATATTTTAAGGAACAATTTCTGGTCTGTCTGGCCTTTCTGGCTTTTCTGCCAGAATAAACTTTGTTCCTCATCACCAGGCACATATTTGACCAGTTTATAACCGCGTCAAAGAGATGATGGGGGGCCCGTCCTCTCCTGCTTTTCAGGTTTTCTGTGTCCCCCTCGTGAGCACGTTCACAGTAACTTAGTCCGCATCTCAGATTCTCCAAAGCGGCCTCACTGCTTCGTTCCAGCCCCACCAGACTGAGACTCAGCGCGTCCCTCCACAAAACGCAAAACGGAGTTGCAGCACTGCCTACCTCACAGCCTAGGGATCCAGTTTCAGAGCTGAAGAAATGATAGACCCTTGAATGAGGGACTTTCTGCATACCTCTGTTATCGGAACAAAATGCAAAAATGAACTGCTTCCTGCCGGGCGTGGTGGCACACGCCTGTAATCCCAGCACTCAGGAGGCTGAGGCAGGAGGATCACTGTGAGTTCAAGACCAGCCTGGGCTACATAGTGAGTTCCAGGTCAGTCTCGACTACATAGTGAGACCCTGTCTCAAAAAAAAAAAAAAAAAAAAAAAAATTTCTGATTACTTCCTGGGGCTGCAACTATTTCTGGAGAATCCCAATTTCAAGTGTTTGGGGCCCTACCTATCCACAACATCAAAGTGACCCAAATATTGGCAATTTTTTTAAAATTAATTTTTATCAATACATTTTACCATACGTAAGGATCACATTCATCATAACTTGTACCTGTACATAATATATTTAATTTTTCCCCTTTCCCCTCCCCTCCCTTCAATCTTTCTTCCCTTCCCTGTTTACCCAACTTTGTTTCCATGGTTTTCCTTCCATTCTCTTTTTATCCCTTTTCCCTTCCTACCTCCCCTTGCTCCATTTCCCATTAGAACATTTTCTTTCTGCTTCTCAATATCTATCCTCCATGTTGCTCCTCCTTTACTCTTTGGGTTTCTCCTACAAAATAAACAATATACTATTTAAACTTCTCTGTCCAGTTTGTTTCACTTAAAATTATGTTCTCAAAGTGCCTCCATTTACCTAAAAATGTCTCAAGTTCATCCTTCTTTATGGCAGAGTCACACTCCATTGTATATAAGAACCACCTTCTTCTTCTTTTTTTCTTTTTTTTGGGTACCGGGGATTGAACTCGGGTCCTTGCACTTGCCAGGCAGGCAGCGGAACCACTGAGCTCAATCCCCAGCTCCTAAGAGCTACTTTCTTTATCCATTCATCCATGGACGGGTAGATGGGCTGTTTCCAAGATTTAGCTATTATAAATTAGGTCTAGGTATAAATTGTGTTTAGCTATTATAAACATGGGTGTGCACATATTGCTGTGGTATGATGCTTTTAACTCTTTTAGGAAGATACGTAGAAAAAGAATACTTGGTTCAAATGGAACACCTAGTATTAGTTTTTTGAGAAATCTTCATACTGATTTCCACAGTGGTTGTACCAGTTTATACTCCCACCAACAATGCAGAAAGGTTTCTTTTCCC